GGCGGCGATTAGGAAGAAGAAATACGATGAATCTTTGCGTGAGGCGAGGAGAAATTATCGAGATATGGCGAATATGTGGGCGAGATTAGCTCAGGATCCTAATGTGGCTACAGCTCTTGGATTGGTGTTCTTTTATATATTTTATCGTGTAGTGGTGCTAAACTATAGGAAGCAAAAGAAGGATTATGAAGACAGGTTGAAGATCGAGAAAGCGGAAGCAGAGGAGAGGAAGAAAATGAGGGAGTTAGAGAGGGAGATGCAGGGAATTGAGGAAGAAGATGAGGAGGTTGAGGAAGGAACGGGTGAGAAAAATCCATACTTAAAGATGGCGACGCAGTTCATGAAGTCAGGTGCACGTGTCAGAAGAGCATCAAATAGGAGGCTACCGGAGTATCTGGAGAGGGGTGTGGATGTGAAATTCACTGACGTTGCTGGGCTTGGGAAGATTCGCCTCGAACTTGAGGAAATTGTTAAGTTTTTTACCCATGGAGAGATGTACCGTAGGAGAGGAGTCAAGATTCCAGGTTGGATGTTGTAACAGTTTCTGCTTTTCCTTAGATCACCGATGAGTTGGCGTAAATGTATATTTATAATCTCGTAAATCCTGCTGTTCATCATAGTTCGTACTTTGTTTGTACTCAGGTGGTATTCTTCTATGTGGTCCTCCCGGGGTGGGGAAAACTTTACTGGCAAAAGCTGTAGCTGGTGAAGCAGGAGTGAATTTCTTCTCTATCTCTGCTTCTCAATTTGTTGAAATATATGTTGGTGTTGGTGCATCTCGTGTCCGAGCGTTGTACCAGGAAGCTAGAGAGAATGTAAGTCTTGTAGCTTTGCATATATGTGTTGTGCGTGGAACTTGATTCTCACTTTCAGATACATTTATTAGATTACTAAAGCGATATCTCGTGGCTGCTTTTCTGATGATTCTAATTGTGTAGTGAGGATTCAGTCTATTGCTGGTTGCTAATTTTAAGCTGGTCTCACTACAGGCTCCATCTGTGGTCTTCATCGATGAATTGGACGCTGTTGGAAGGGAGCGTGGGTTAATTAAGGGTTCTGGAGGACAAGAAAGGGATGCCACTCTTAATCAGGTTCATGACATTTTAGATTGTGTTACAGCTTCGTCGTCTTTTTTACGGAATGATAATTTTTCGGTTTTTTGTTTGTTTGCTACAGCTCCTTGTTTCTTTAGATGGTTTTGAAGGGAGAGGAGAGGTCATTACCATCGCTTCCACAAATAGACCAGACATTCTAGATCCTGCACTTGTGAGGCCTGGAAGGTTCGATCGCAAGATTTTCATCCCTAAACCTGGTCTTATTGGACGGATGGAAATTCTGCAGGTAATGGATTTGTCTTGACTTAAGTGCCTTAATGTTAAAAAATTGTGAAAATTCTACAAACTAGAGTTTTGTCTTTTTCCTGCGGTTCAAGGCTATATATGTCTTTCGGTTTTTGCTGTTTAGGTTCATGCTCGTAAGAAGCCGATGGCTGAAGATTTGGACTACATGGCAGTTGCTAGCATGACAGATGGGATGGTTGGAGCAGAGCTTGCTAATATCGTTGAGATAGCGGCAATTAATATGATGCGTGATGGAAGGACAGAGGTAGGATCTATATTCTATAGTGCGGATTAGTTAAATTTGCTCTTTCACTTGGATAGTGTTGGTTTCAAATGTTAGGATTGCATAGCATCTGGTAATGTGGTGTCTCTGAATTGGATTAAGGGCTTTGATGTTGGGTTTGAGAGTAAGCAGCTAAGGCTAATAATAAGTTGAGAAGTTAATTTTCGATACCAGCAAGTACAAGACTGAGAAATTTTATACTCTCTGCAGTTAACAACAGATGATTTGCTTCAAGCTGCACAAATAGAAGAAAGAGGAATGTTAGATAGAAAAGACAGGAGCTCTGAGACATGGCGACAAGTTGCTATAAACGAGGCTGCTATGGCTGTTGTGGCAGTGAACTTTCCAGATCTGAAGAATATAGAATTTGTAGGTTTCTTAAATCTCTAATTTTTTCCCTTCAGACTCCCTTTCTACATTGAAGCTTCAACTTTCTGTTTTGCTGCACTGTAACATTTTGATGACGTTGACCAGCTGACAATCAACCCCAGAGCTGGTAGAGAATTGGGATATGTCCGGGTTAAGATGGATCATATCAAATTTAAGGAAGGCATGCTTAGGTTTGTGGCTTTAATTATACAGATTTGGTTTCTTGTTTACAAAGGTTCTTTACCTTAATCTATGTCTTTTTGTGTTCTACTATATGCAGCCGACAATCCATTTTGGATCACATCACTGTCCAGTTAGCACCTCGGGCTGCAGATGAGCTATGGTACGGTGAAGATCAGGTGAGAGATATGATCTCTTTTAACCACTACGCATCATCATTAAATACATCTAAGATATGATCTATGATTTTGCTTTTTCCCAATAGTGTTTTTTTAGTTACCAATCTTTGCTAATGATTGGTTCCAGTTAAGTACAATATGGGCTGAAACATCGGATAACGCAAGGTCAGCTGCTCGATCATTGGTTCTTGGTGGTCTTTCTGAGAAGCATCATGGCTTGAATAACTTTTGGGTAGCTGATCGAATTAACGTAAGGCCATATCTTAAATTGTCTTAACTTCAAATTTCAGAGACACAGATCATGTTCTGATACTTTGGTTTGCAGGAGATTGATGTGGAGGCATTGCGGATATTAAACATGTGTTACGAGCGTGCTAAAGAGGTAAAGAGACTTCTAAATCAACTAATTTGTTCATATCATCTCCTTTATATGGTTCTATAATTTACAAACGCATGCATACAACAGATTCTTCAAAAGAACCGGACGCTCATGGACAAGGTGGTAGAGAAACTAGTTCAGAAGAAAAGTCTTTCGAAACAAGAATTCTTCACTCTTTTTGAGCTATACGGATCCATTAAACCAATGCCACCAAGCATCCTTGAACTTCGGAAAACCAAACGGATGCAGCTCGAAGAGACAGTAATGAAACTGGACGTGACTACCGCGAGAAACAGTGCATAAGATGATTGTGTTTTGGCAAAGGTAGAGAAATAACATCAGATAAGAGGCAAGATCTTTATCTTTATGTTTCCTCTTTAATCTTAGTGAATGTTAGATAATTCTTTAAGTTTCAATAGTGATTCCCCTTTTTCTACATTATGTGAATGGTTAGTTTATATCATTTTACAAATCTTTATTAAAAAAACAAAAAAAAATTTCATTACATGTTACATGTACCAAATTATGCAAGGCTTGGGATTATTCGTTGCAGCATACCCCAACAAAAATGAGAGACTTTGAAAAATGGTACATAGTAACGTGAATTATTGTGGATTTTTTTTTAGGTGAAATTGCAAGTTGATAGTAATCAAATCAAGAGTCCTAGGTTGGTCGATTTACATATAACAATTAGATTATATTATAGAGCAAATGACATTTGACTTACAAGATTTGACAACTATATATGATATTTACACATTACCAAATTATTCACTTAACCTCCTAATTGGTAATTGGCCACCTTTATGGCTTAATCTCTATTATTGAATCCACCCGACTCATTTATGAAACCGGATACCCAACCGAATTTTTTTATTTTTTTATTTTAAAATTGTACATACTGTACATAGCTGTTCTAGTACAAGATAACACACTTCATTGTTAATTTTATTTTTAGGTAGCAATTCATTTATTACATTTTTATCAAGGGACTTCGAGCAGGAAGCACTAGAGAGAATAAATGTTTTAAAATTGGTTCAACAAATATTATTCCGTTGGGTTCTTGTCTGATATAAAGTGTCCAAATTTACCAATCTTCTTAGGTCTTACACAACGGTAAAATTTGTTGACAACAAATGAAGACAAAAAATGGCAAAAAAATTTTGAAGTCGTCAAAAGAAATTGACAATAACAAAAGAGGTCCACAACGGCAGTATTTGACTCTTGTGTTCGGTTGTTTGTTCCCACGCCACAATCTTCTTCTCATTTTCAATTAAAAGTATTATTATACATTTAAGCTAAAATAAAGTCTCGTGTTTAAGAAGACTAATTAATATACGTAACAATTTCAAATAAAGAGATTTGAATATGGTATTTAAAATAAAATTCCACCTAGTTATCCAAGTGCGTTTTTTAATATCATTAGTTTACTTAACGATTATGGATTTCAGTATAATTTTTTTTTTTTATATAAAATATTTCAGTATGAATTAATATGGATGAACACGATTCCCAAAATATTTGTGATAGTTTTGTTGTACTAAGAAAATTTGTTTTCTTGGTCGAGACAAGAGATCGAATTCCCAGTGTGATTACATGTTATGTTTGCTATTCTAAACGTTTCTAATAGCAAAACAAAATCAACCTTTTACAAGTATCAGAAATAATATAAGTACGTATTTTGGTTTAGAACTATTTTTTATTATAAAAAGTCGAATCATAAAATATAAAAAAGCGAAAATATATTATTAGTGGATGGTGTGCACCTCGCTGGAATTATATTAGCGTGTTGTCTAATCTCTATTCTCTAAGTGCATTCATCGTATTTAATTATTTAGCAA